TGGCTGTACCCTTGGCTGCAACCTTATAGCAGAATTAAATGCGAAAGAAGAAGGGAGAAAGGAAAGAGTGCTCAGGGGGAAGAACCCAAAGTCCTATAAGGTTGTAAGAGTATTCTTTAATACTGTCCAGATACAGGTGGGGAGTAAGTAGTAAGAGCTAAAGTCATCAAGGCAATTCCTACAGGTTACTCGGGTGGACAACTAATGCTCACAAGTAATTTATGGGGGTAGAAGCATCAAGCCAATTCCTTCTCTTCCCTCAGGCACTTGAGATCACAGCTACCAGCTAGTGATTATTTTGTTTTGTTTTTTAATATTCACCTCTATTTTTTACTGTCTTACTTTGGAAACAAAAAGGGTACATTGCTCCCAGCCCCCGACCCCCCATCTTTACTTCTGAGATGTACAAGAAACCCATAATGCCCTGCCAAGGCGAATATATGATCTTTTTCTTTGTGCAGTTGTAGTGGTGGTGGTTTTAGTCTCCAAGACTGGCCCCAGTGAACCATACTCAAGTATTTATATCATTGTATAATCCTTTTCCACATTTAATCTGGTTTGGATTTGCTCCTGTATCTCAACAGATTGAAGTAGACGTGGTTCTATGCCAGCTCCAGGATCAGTCCTTAAAATGCCTTGGCAGATTTTGTGTCTTGTGGTCTTGGGAGCCCCGAGCTACTGTGGAAAAATGTTTGGTTACCAGGTTACCAGTTACCAAGGTGGTGAGGCCACGTTGCAAAGGAGAGGCCCCTTGCAAAAGAACAGGGCTCAGCCTCCCCTCCAGCTGACTCCTGTCTGCCCCCATCAGATTGGAACTCAAGAAATGTCAGAAGAATAAATACCAAGTGCCCAAGCAATCCACAGGGTGAGAGAGAGAGAGAAAGAGAGAGAGAGAAATGGTCGTTATAAGCCACTAAGTTCTGTGGTATTTTGTTGTTGTGTAGCAACAAATAACTGAAACAGTTGTTATCCTTAAATCCTTTCTTATTTTTAAGTATAGGAATGTAGACATCGGGGCAAAATCAGAAAAAGAGCTTTGGGGCCTATCAGAGACACCATTGTAGTCTTAAAAGTGAAGGACAGAATGTAAACCTTGGACCCAGGTTGGATGACTGTGTGACATCACCAAGTTCATAGGCTCCTTTTTCCTCAAGTAGTCTCAGATGAAGTGACCACAGATACCAGTTTTGATTTTTTTGAAAAATAGTAAATTTGTCTCTATTTTTTACTATTTCATTTTGGAAACAAATATATATAAAGGATACATTGCTCCCCCCATCTCTACTTTTGAGGTACTTGAGAAGTGTGTCAGGAGATAAGAATCCAGTCCTGTCATGGGCTGAGATATCCTGACTTGATGCCAGTGTAGAATCTACATACCTTTGAGATACCTTTGAGGAACCCAGAACAATAGAAGAGGGTATTCTTTTTTCCCCACGAGAACACTGACTGCATCTCTATTAAAGCTATCAGGTAGGTCTGCTAAATTACAGACGCACTTATGTATTGCTTATACAGTGGCTAAGAGATATCACAATGAAACTATTTGATTATTCTTATTTGAGAAGTCGGTTGTACCTTTAGTTTGAATCACACCGCAAAAGACATCAGCCTGTTCTTTAAATTTGTACTGATATTAGGAAAAGCATATACAAGCAAAAGGAATTCAGAGAAAATGGAATGTGGAGCTGTGCATCTTAATCTAACATTTTATAATGTCTCATTTCATTTAGTTTTTAATACTCAAAACTGTGCCTGTCACATAATAGATATTCAACATTCCCTTCCTCCCCTCTGTTCTTTTTTAACTTGTTTTGACTATATTGGACAGGGAGAGATAATTTACACCCATTATTTCAGCACAAATTTATTATTCCTGCTTACAAGGCGCTTCCTTCCGGGTCCAGAATATTCACCTGAAGAAAAATGGTATTGGTGTCCCTACCCTGTCCCCATCTGGAGTGGGCTCAAGTTCCTCTATATAAGGAGCCTGTGGCTAGCAGAGGATTTCTTTAGGTTGTCTGGCCTGGGATCCAGCTACATCTCCTTAATTTTTCACTATAACACCCACCCCTACTCTCCTTCCAGTGAGAGGTTGCTGTGCGCTTTCTTCTGAATTATCAAGTAGCTTTATGGGAATAACCAATTCAATTTGCATTGTCTCCCATACACAAACACCACCAGCATTTCTCCCAGCTTTGTTCAAAACATTGGAAATGAAAATTTCTTAGTGCAGCGCCTCCTATATAGCAAGTACTAAATAAATTGTGGTACTAATGATTTTTTTTAATGTAAACATTTCTCTGTAGCTCAGGTCCAAACAGCAATTTGACTGAATAGAAGAAAAAAATCTTAAAAATCTAATTGTTCTTGCCAAAGAAATTTAAGCTTTGAGGATCTTATCTCCAGTTTAACCAAAGTCATAAAGATTTTGCCAAAGCTGACTTCATAGCAAGTATACCTCAAATTGTGAAGTCATACTCTGCATGTGGAGATTTAGATAATAAAGTCAGCAGACATGTGGTGGTGGGTGCCCTCTCTGCTGGGAGCCAGTGGCCTCTGATAACCTGATAACGTGTTATGTAAGGAAAAGAACTGAGGCCTGCGTGCAGTGAGTGGAGCAGTTTTCTAGTCTGATTCCTATGGCTACCAGGAGAGCTCCCAGGGCAGCAACTGTCTCATTTTCACTTTGTATCAGCTAGCCTGGCACCCAGTCAGTGCTCAGAAAACTGACCGAATAACTTGCTTGGTAGTTGGTACCCCAGTTTTCCATTGGAACTCGCCAAGGAGTTCCTGTGTTGTTTCTCTCTTTTCTACTTGAGATGGTCACCCAGTGGCTATCCTCTTTTTCTCCTGAATAATGTGTCCGAATATAAAAATTTAACACAAAACAATAAGTTGCCGGAGCAGAGAATGGCTGAATAATGCTAGGAGTAGCAGTGTTCCAAAGGAAAGAAAAACCTCCACATTTTGAGTCAGAGATTCACCCGGCTCGGCAACTTAGCTTTGTGAGTTTAGAGAAGTCACTAACCTTTTCTGAACTCCAGTCTGCTCATCTGTAAAAAGCAGGGATAATGATAAAAGCCCCAGTGGATTGTCATAAGGATTAAATGAGATTGTGCTAAAGGGAATGTGTCAGCGCACCAGAAGGCGATTTCTCAGTCTCCTCCTCCTCTGTCATTTGATAATATGTATATCTATCTCAGCAGACTTGGGGGGATTTCATTTCATTCTTCCATTGGGAAAGAGGAGACAACAGTAACTTACCTCCCTTGGGTGCTTTGCTTAGTGGAATGAGAATTTTACAGCCTTGTGAGATTGTCTGTGTTTGCTGGAGACACAGATCATCTGTATTTTACTGTGAGCTCTGGACAGCTCAACCTCTTTGTTTATAAAATGAGAATGGAAATAACTGTCACCTGTGGAAATTTGTATAGAATGTCTCAAAACATAGGAACTCCCATTTTGCATGAAAATCTCAAGGTCTTTATAAGAGAGACAGCTCATTGGGACACTTGAATGCAATGTCAAATCTGCCAATATTCACGTTTCTACGTAGCCCTTCCTTCCACCGGTCATGGTTTCTAAAGTCCTGTATCATATTTCAGTATTTTTATTTTATTTTATTTTATTTTTAGGACAGAGTCTGAGTTCTTGACAGCAAATCAGCAGAGTGTAATGGGGGAGGACAGCTAAGTAAAACATGGATTCTGTCTTCCAGCAGTTCCAAGTAATGCTGAAACTTGATACTCAGGTTTTGAAATCACTCAGTCCTCAGAAGTTGTTACCCCAGGGCAACAGTGGATGAGATGATGAGAAGAAAATTCAGACACTGGCAAAACGAAGCAACAATTTAACAGTTGTCCTCTATGTAGTGGATTCTTCAGCTTTTTAAAGCAAATCTGTTTGGACGTTTGAATACAATAGTAGGCATCGCA